TAAGACAAATACAAGGTTCGAACTAAAACTACTCGGTTCGACCGAACCCGCTGGCTACACTCTAGCTCCGCCCTTGCAGCCATATTTGTTAGTAGGGGTGTCAAATGAGCAGGTTGGATCAATTTTAGGCGAGTGAGAATCAGACAGAGTCGATAAATGGGCGAATCATTGACACGCCCAAAGTTACTTGGACTGAGATGAGTTAGGTCAAGATGGACTAAAATTGGGGGAAGTGCACAGTTAGCCACTAATAACACATGTATTTACTTTTAAGCCACTATTTAAAATGTTTTTAGTTTTTAGTCACTACTTTAATAAACTTTAACTGTCCGGACGAAAATATCCTTCTGCTCATGTCCTTAACTTTTGAACTTAACTTCAGGACTACATGTCCTTAACTTTTGAGCTTGTAATTGTAAGTTCAAGACCAAGTGTCCTTAACTTTTGAGCTTGTTAGTCTAAGTTCAGGACCTATTATCCTTAACTTTTGGGTTTCTTAGCCGAAGTTTAAGACCTATTGTCCTTAACTTTTGAGCTTGTTAGTCTAAGTTCAGGACTTCAGGACCTATTGTCCTTAACTTTTGAATTTGTAACTATAAGTTCAGGACCTATTGTCCTTAAATTTTGAGCTTGTTAGTCTAAGTTCAGGACTTCAGGACCTATTGTCCTTAAATTTTGAGCTTGTTAGTCTAAGTTCAGGACCAAGTGTCCTTAACTTTTGTACTTGTAATTCTAAAATCAGGACCAAGTATCCTTAACTTTTGAACTTGTAACTGTAAGTTAAGGATCCATAACGTAGCAGAAAACCAAACGTTATTTGTATTTTTTCACAAAAAAATAAAATAATAATTACAATTTACATATAAGATTAATATCAAATTACACAACAGAAAGCTAATAACAAAAAGAAACAATTAAAAAAAATAAAAGACTACAGAACCTAACCAACCAAAAGAAAAAGAAAAATAAATAAAACTCAGAAAGTTTATTTTCTAAAGTTTTTTGTTCTAGGATTGCAGAAAAGAACACAAAATGTTCATCTTTATCCAGTTTAGGAATAACAATCCACTTTTGTTGCTTATACCTCAGAATCTTGAATGCTTCTAAATAATCATTCAATTCTTCCTTCAAACAGAAAAAGCTACCAATCCATAAAAGCCCACCAGGCCTCAAAACTCTATCAAAATCATACAACACAAAATTCATCAACACAAAATCAATTCAGCCATCAAGAAACTTCATCGTATGAATCAAATCTAATGTGTTATTTAAATATGGTAGCCTCTGATTTATAGTTAAGTAAAGAGGAATTAGCCCTCGAAGAGCAATCATCTCGTTAAATGGTGCACCAAGAAACACTAAGAAGAAAATCCTTCCGGTACAGTTCTTTTCCCTAACATGAAGGAGATAGAAGAAAGAGTAACACAATCTTTTCATATTAATTTTAATAGACTAGTGACTATTGTTGCTAAGCATTAAAAATGCTAGATAAAAAGTAAATACCACTTTAAAAAGTGGCTACCCCACACAATTTTTACACTAAAATTTGGGTCAAAGCCCCGCCCAACTCTTACCGACTTAAATTAATATGTGTTATTTTTTTTATGAATTGTATAATTACTAAATAAGACTTTTTTTCTTTTGTTATGGTTATATATAACAAATCAAACAAAAAGTATTATTGCAAGGATATTTTAGCAAAGTTATTTATGAATCAATTTAGGCTAAAAGTCAACCAAACTTTAAATGAGTTAAAATAAGTTGAGTCAAGATGAGTTGGGTTCAATAAATAGGCAGGTTAATAACCAGCCCAACGTGGAATAGGTTGGGTAGGTCATTTGGGCTTGAGCCGCTTTTAGAGCGTGCTTTATGAAGAAATAATTTATCTAATTTGTATAATAAACATCTAAATTAATATTACTCTAATATCTTGAAACTAAAATATTTATTAGTAATTTATTTGAATTCTATATTTATTAGGTTTTAAATAAAGATAAATTATATAAGTTAAGATGATGAAAAGGAGGAGGGAAAAAAGGAACAAAAACCTTGAGGTATAAATTTGTTTCAAACATAGGAGAAATTGAGGGGATTGAAATATCACCACCAAAAATTGATGCACCTGAATGCAATTTAAAATACACTATAGCCCCTTTTCCCCATAACAACAAAACAAGAAAGGCGCGAAAACAAACCACAAAAACCCAAACAGAATTCTCGATTATCGGAAGCCAGTGCTCCGGCAACATCTCTTAGCTCCTTCATTACTTTACTCACATTTTCAAACAAGGACATAAGTATATGAATTGGACAAAGGTATGTGCTCTTTCACCCTTCAAGTCAAATCTTGTTCAAAAACCCACCTCAAAAACAACCATAAACCTCTCAATCTTGGAGGGTCTTCTGCTAAAATGCCAAAATTCCAAGCATTTTGGGCAAATTCTTTCTCAGATTATCTCCACTGGGTTCATCAAAGATACATATGCTGCAAGCAGGATTCTCAAATTTTCTACTGACTCCCTTTTCATTCACGTTAATTACTCTCATAAAATCTTTGATTACATCGAAAATCCAAATGGATTTATTTGTAATACCATGATGAGAGCTTATTTACAGCAAAACCAGCCTCAAAATACAATCCTTTTGTATAAATCAATGTTGAAGAATGATGTATGTATTGATAATTATACGTTTCCGCTTCTGGTTCAAGCCAGCACAGTTAGATTGTCGGAAATAGAGGGAAAAGAGTTTCATAATCATGTTATTAAAACGGCATTCACATCGGATGTTTATGTTAAGAACACTTTGATTCACATGTATGCTGTTTGTGAAAACATGGTTGATGCAAGAAAGCTGTTTGATGAAAGTCCTGTGCTGGACTCGGTTTCGTGGAATTCGATACTGGCAGGTTATGTACAGGTTGGAAATGTTGAAGAGGCAAAAGTAATTTTTGATAAGATGCCTATGAAGAATGTTATTGCATCCAATTCTATGATTGTACTCTTGGGTAGATCTGGTAGGATGACTGAGGCTTGTCAATTATTGGATGAAATGAAGGAAAAAGATGTGGTTTCTTGGACTGCTTTGATATCTTGTTATGAGCAACATGGGATGTACAAACAAGCTTTGGATTTATTTATGCAAATGTGTGCTAATGGCACTTCCATAGATGAGGTGGTTGTGATAAGTGTGCTATCTGCGTGTGCACACTTGTTGGTTGTTCAGACAGGAGAATCAGTACATGGATTGGTTATCAGAGTTGGTTTTGAATCTTATGTCAACCTTCAAAATGCTTTAATTCATATGTACTCCACTTGTGGAGATGTAACGGCTGCACAAATATTGTTTGATACGAGTAGTCATTTGGACCAGATATCTTGGAACTCAATGATCTCTGGCTACTTGAAATGTGGCTCTCTGGAGAAGGCTAGAGAATTATTCGATTGCATGCCTGAGAAGGATGTTGTGTCATGGACTACGATGATATCTGGTTATGCGCAACATGATTATTTCTCGGAAACTCTAGCATTGTTTCAGGAGATGCTGCATGAGGACAATAAGCCTGACGAAACTACTTTGGTTAGTGTTCTTTCGGCTTGCACTCACTTGTCTGCCCTTGATCAAGGAAAATGGATCCATGCTTACATAAGAAAGAATGGGCTCAAAGTGAATATCATTCTCGGTACAACTCTTGTTGACATGTACTTGAAATGTGGTTGTGTGGAGAATGCATTGGAAGTCTTCAATGGAATGGAAGAAAAAGGGGTTTCTTCATGGAATGCTTTAATTCTTGGATTGGCCATGAATGGGCAGGTGGAGAAGTCACTAGCAGTGTCTCAGGAAATGAAGGAATGTGGTGTAACCCCTAATGAGGTTACTTTTGTGGCAATTCTTGGTGCCTGTCGACATATGGGCCTGGTAGACGAGGGTCGTTCCTACTTTGATAGTATGACCAGATATTACAATGTTGAACCTAATATCAAGCACTACGGATGCATGGTTGATCTACTTGGACGTGCAGGGTTGCTGAAAGAAGCTGAGACGCTTATTGACAGTATGCCTATGGCTCCTGATGTTGCCACTTGGGGTGCTCTTCTTGGAGCTTGCAGAAAACACGGTAATAGTGAAATAGGGGAGAGGGTTGGAAGGAAGCTCATTGAACTTCAGCCAGATCATGATGGATTTCATGTGTTATTGTCCAACATATTTGCCTCAAAAGGTAATTGGGACAGTGTTCTGGATATTAGAGGAGCAATGTCGCGGCAGGGAGTCGTTAAAGTTCCTGGCTGCAGTATGATTGAATCAAATGGTGCTGTTCAGGAATTCTTGGCAGGAGACAAGTCTCATCCCCAGATAAATGAAATCGAAACAATGTTGGCTGAAATGGAAAAGCGATTGAAAATAATGGGCTATGCACCAGGCACAGATGAGGTTTTACTTGATATTGACGAGGAAGAAAAAGAAAGTACCCTGTTTAGACATAGTGAAAAGCTTGCAATTGCTTATGGGCTCATTTCTATCACTCCTCCAACTCCAATAAGAATTATAAAGAACTTACGAATATGTAGTGATTGTCATACAGCAGCAAAACTAATATCTAAAGCTTTTAATCGCGAGATTGTGATTAGGGATCGCCATCGCTTTCACCATTTTAAGGATGGGTCTTGTTCCTGTATGGAATTTTGGTAACTAATTCTCGGTTGTTGGGCCATAGGGAACTATTATGAAGGTTGTTTAACTTGATTGCCTAAATCTTCCTTGCAACATTAACTGGCTGCCGTTCATGTATGAACTGTGCGTAGGCTCATTAGGCCATCGTCTCCCAAATTGGAATACATGCATTGCATTTCAATCTACATTCTGGGCAAACTGACTTTTACCATGGATATGGACAGTAAGGCAAGCGCTCTGATGCTACTTTTGGATTTAAAGCTTCTTAAGTTTTCACTCTGCTCGAGTTCTCGTCATCTCTTATCAAGATCTCCTTCACATATTTCAGATTGTGCTCCTTGAACATCTTTGCTGACTGGATTTTGATCTATAGCATAAAAGGAGCTCGTAGTCAAAATTGAAAATTTTGGTCACTCAGTCTACCAGGTATTTGTACATTGTTGCTATGTTGTAGTCACAACTGCACCCTGATATAGTAAGATTGCATTGCAGTAGTTGAATTAAGTCTGAAGTATCTAATTATGCACTCAAATTCAGATTTGGCACCGATTCAGATGTAGGTACCAAAGGCTGCTACCCAGAGTGCATTGGGAGCTTGGCCATTACAGGCTCTAGAAGGAGCTTCTTTATGTATTTAATCAGCATCTACCTCGTTCTTGAAGATCTATTGAAGCTGAACAGGTTAATAAGATTTTGGATGTTACTGCTGTATTGGTTTTAAACCTATACAACATTACTATATACATGTCTATATCAATTTGGATAATCAATGCTAGCTTAATTTACTAGCAATTCGTTCACAGAAGAGATGGATGAGTAGTCTGTTCTATATAACAATGCAAGTTCTTTTGGTTACTCAAGTTCTTGAACTAGGAGTAACTTTTCCGCATTCCACTCGTATAGTTCTTGCGGTGCAATTTTTGTAACAATTTAAGGTTGTCAGTAGCTGAAAAAGAATTGACCCTATTTGTTTTCCTGGTATCTTTACAGTTGATGGACAAATAATGGAATATTTCCTTACACACAATGTGAGAGACAACCAGAGGCAGTTCATTTATTCGGCATACTGAATTAGGGTGACATCTCTGTGCTATTTTTGCAGTACGTTGAAGAATTTTTGTAGTGGTTAATGAATAAGCGAAGAAATTTATGCTATATGGGGGAAGCAAATGGGTTGGGGCTCTTGGTGGAGAAACATGAACCGAATGTACCAGCAATCTTGTAAAACTGCCATGTACCATAATATTCTTAAACTCAGAACCACAACATGTGCTCTAGATAAAGTAGCATCTCATCTGCAAAGCATCACGAAGGTTTCCATGACCGTAAGCTTGTAATTTTGATATTTTGCTCCATTTTTGTAGTGGTATCATGTATTCTATCAATTTGGAGAATCGCGTTCAAACTGGACGTATCTGCCTGCTTAATCAGCCAAATCTCTGTTAACTCCGCTTGAGCACTAGCTATCTAGCATAGAATCATCTGTTCTGCCTCTGATTTCACAGAGATTGTCACTCGTGGGCACCAACCTGGGATCAGCCACATTTCATTACTACGTTCACTGGTGCTTGAAATTATGTCGTGACATACATTTTTTCCTCAAGTCAATGAGCTATTGCAACTGACTAGCTCAAACAGTAGAAATTCGACAATACCCCCCAGAGAAATATTTAACTAGGAGTGGCAAACGTGCGAGTCGGGTCAGGTATGGTTCTGGTCAAAAACAGGTAATGAAAAAATGGATCAATTATTCGACCTGACCCATATTTAATACGGATAAAAAACGGGTTAACCGTAGATAATATGGGTAACCATATTATCCATGAATTCTTGCATATGATCACTTTTGGGAGAATTCTTAATCTCCCTAACTTGAGGAACCCCCAAATTGAAGCTTTACAAATGTAAAAGATAGACCAACTGGTTATCCATTGGTATCTCATTGGTTATCCATTTTCTAAATGGATAATATGATTCTTATCCATATTTGACCCATTTTTAAAAAGTTCATTATCCAACCCATTTTTTAGTGGATAATATGGGTGGTTAACTTTTCCTTTAACCATTTTGCCACCCCTATATTTAACCAATCTTAACCAGTTTGACATGTAAGTAGAATGTGTTTCACCTCCTAAACAATGGTCATTTAGTAAACGAATCTGAGACTTAGCAACCACTTGTGCAATTTTTCCTTCCAGAAATCTCAAAGAGCGCGAAGACAAGTCTCTAAGGATCATATTGTTCTTCCCATAATAACAATGTACTCATCGCTGGATCTTCCAAGAACCTTTTATAAGTCAGAAGATCTACTGGATTTACTTGAGCAATCGAGCTTACTTTCCCACGAAAATGTCTTGTATCATATCCACTCTAGTCATGTTTAGTACTGAGTTATTTTTCCTTCCAGACAAAGTAAAGAGCACATAAATGAATTTCAAGAAGATCACAGGGTTCTTCCCATGATAACAATGTCCCCTCGCTTGTTCCAAGAGCATTTTAGAAGACTGAAAATCCACTAGACTCCAAGTTGGGTATAATCAAGATCGTGTTTAATAAAATCTCTTCTTGCATAGAATGTGATATGCCTTGTGGAAAAAACGAATCTATCTTACTTTGCTTCTAACTGAATTCCGCTGCCCCCCCAAAGAATAAATACATTAACAAATACAACAACGAAGTCCCGTTAAACCTCAGTGCTGTTACTTTTCAAGTTCCATCTTCAGAATCATGTATAAAGAAGTCAAAATCAGGAATATATGGTACGTCACTCATATGTTCGACCAGGATATTTACAACTTCATAAACGCAATCCATATGTGAACCCATCTTATCTCCAGCAACAAAACTATAGTTCTGATTCTTTATCTCTACTGAACTTCTCCCAGCCTCTTTCTTAGTAGCCACCCTTCTCATCAACTTCCTCATTTTCGCAGAGTCACCCCATTTACCGTCAGCTGCATAGATATTTGACAAAATCACATAGGTTCCTGCAATTTTCGGCTTCAAAGCCAACACCTTTCTCATGGCCAGTTTGCCCAAATCTGGAAGATTGTGGGCTTTACATGCTCCTAGGAATGCTCCCCAAACAGATTCATCAGGATCAAATGGCATACTCTCTATCAACTTAAAAGCCTCCTCAACTCTTCCAGCACGTCCTAGCAAATCTACTAAACACCCAAAAATCTCCTGATCTGGAGCTATGTCGTAATCACCAACCATTGAGATAAAATACCTTAAACCTTTATCTACAAGCCCAGCGTGGCTACATGCATTTAAAACTGCCACAAAAGCTATCCTATCTGGCCTGACTCTAAATTTAACCATCTCTTCAAAGAAGTCAACAGCTTCATTTCCATAACCATGGCTTCCATAACCAATCATCATTGAGGTCCACGAAACCAGATTTTTCTTGGGCATTTTATCAAAAATTCTACGTGCACTTGCAATATTTCCAGACTTTGCATACATATCTATTAAGGCATTGTCCAACTCCAAGTTCCCGCCAAGGCCTCTCTTTATGATTCTTCCAAGAATCTGCTCTCCACAACTCAAAACTGCCAAATTGGCCACAGCTGCTACAACGCTGGAAAATGTGAAGCAGTTGGGGCTAAGACCTTCAGACTCCATACTCGAGTATATGCTGATAGACTCGTATGGATCAGACTTCTCGTACCCAGCAATCAAAGTGTTCCACGTGATTGAATCCCTTTGAGTCATTTCACGGAAGCATTGCTTTGCATCATTTAAGCTACTACACCTACAATACATATCTAAAATAGAATTCATTACAGGTAGATTAAAGTCCAAGCCATGCTTGATGATTGCAGCATGAAGTTGCTTCCCGTATGTACATGAATGGACGGAGGCACAAGCTCTAACCGCTATTGAAAAGCTAAATGGGTTTGATACACCCTCTTCCTGTCCATCCAAACACACAAAAAAAGGATGAAAGGTCAGAATTAAAATTTCCTTTTGTATTATGTTAGCAACTTATTTTTATTGAAGCAACTACGTAAGACTTTCACTGATCATGCAACAAAACCTACATACAGACCAAGCAATGATTTACATGTTTTTGAGTTTCACATTTTCAAACTTTAAGAAGTAGCTTTCAAATTAAGCTACATGCAGTACTAGATCCACTACAATTTCGAGTCACAAAGGACTTGCTGCAAGTAGCACTTAATTGAATATGATACAATCTAGCATTTTTCTACAACAGGTGAATTCAAGCGATAACAAAAAAAACACCATTTCGTATGTGCATCAGCTGGCCTTTTGCAAGAAAATATCTAAATACGTACCAGTAACATTCTTCTAAAAACTTTAAGCCCCATATAGCCGTCACCACGATGAGTATATCCCGCGATTAAGGTAGTCCAAGACACATCATTTTTCACTCTAATTTCATGAAAAACCGCAGATGCTTCATCCATATTAACACAACACGTAGCATAGACATCCAAGAGCGCATTCGCAACATAAATACTTACACTCATGCCTTGCTTAAGAACCAAACCATGAATCAAAGCTCCACGAGAGGACGAATTGATCCCTTTACAAGCCTTCAACGTGCTAGAAAAGGTGAACTCATTGGGGCGCACATCCGTATACCTCATCATCTCACAGAAAACCAGCCAAGCACGTGCATGGTGATTACATGAAGTGTACCCAGATATCATAGTCGTCCAAGCAACAACGTCTCTTTCAGGCATTTCATCGAACAGTGTACGTGCTTCTCGAATTAGACCCCTTTCAAAATACGATTTGAGAAGGCCAGTGGCCAAGACAGAAGGAGGCTTTGGTAAAAATGGCGGGTTTGAAGAGGGTGGATTGGTTCCAGCACAAAGAAGAGAGTTTCGGATAGTTTGAGGAATTTGAGTACAATGAGTTTGAAACACTAGTTTTCTTGCATTCATTGCTTAAACATAGTTTATGACTAAACAAATCGGTTTAATGAATGTGCTTAAGATTACAGAAGGAAGGAATCTTTGATTCATTTATGCATAAATGAATAAACTCAACTGGTATTCTCTCCTTCTCCGCGTCCCAAGAACTTTTTTTATTCAAATTAGTGATCAGTAGAAGCTAATTTTTCAAATGGTAGTGACTAGTGAACTTATGACTAGTTACTAAGAAAACAAATTTGACAGATAAATTTTTACCTCGATATTTTAGGTTATTTGGCATGACTACTTGGCTTCCTATGAGAGATAATGGATTTAAGTAATCAATTCTAAGTTCAGCGATTTTAAAATAACAAGAGTTAATTTTGTCGAAAGATAGTGAGGTGGATGCTAATTTGAAAACTAATTTTAATTAGAAAGCTACTTGTTTAACACTCCTCTTTTTTATTTGCAGCATTTCTTTTTACTTCTTCATATTTTCTTGTTTTACCTTCATGGATAATTTGAGATAAAGAATGATTTTATTATTTTGTAAGGAAATAAAGAGATTACAGTGTAAATTATTAAAAATATTAAGATATGATTTCAAATCACAAAAACAAATCAGGGCTGCAAAATGCAAACAGCTTTGCTTTTTCCACCCCATTTACATTAGTCGTCTTTGTTTTTACTCCTTTACAAAGTTTAACTCCTTACATTTTCCTTAGGACTTCCTTATAATACTCATTTCGCTGATCAACTATTCTTTTAAGAATTTCTCCAACATCGAACCACATTATAACCATACATACTAAAGACAAATAATAAGCTAATATTAAGACCAAAGGACCCCTCATATATATACGGCAAAGAAAAAGTGACCAAATATCATTCATAAAGACGAGATAAATCATAAAAATGCGTCCCTATACATCTTTACACAGATTATATGAGACAAATACAAACATGCCAATCATCATAGTATTATATGAGTATATAGTATATATATACAGATTAATTCCGGAAGATGCCTGTTATGAAGGCCTTCAAGGAAATTTAGTTTCATTTCCTAAGTTGATGAACTATTACAATTAACTGGCTTACAAATCAATGGTAATTCCATAATGCTGTGTGAAAAATAAAAAATCCTGCTGTTAAGTCTAGAGGTTGAAAAACCCCCTAGACATACCCTTAAAAGGGTAGCCCGGTGCACGAAGCATCCCGCATTCATGCAGGGTCCGGGAAAGGGCTGCACCCCAAGGGGTGTGATACCCTAATCCTAACTATTTCCTGTACATGTAGAATGTGTTAACCTCTGAAAGAATGATGGTTAACTCATACAAGGATCTGAGACTTGGCAGCACCGCGTGAGCACTTTTTCCTTCCAGATTTCTTAAGAGCACAGACACAAATCTCAAGAAGATCATAATCTTCTTCCCAGAATAGCAATGAAGCCATCTCTGGATTTTCCAATAGCATTTTAGATGTCAGAAAACCAGCTATAGTCCATGTTTGGTACAGCCGGGCTTGTTTTCCCGTAAACTTGCCGTACCTTGTATCGTAATATTCAGGCCACTGATCCACCCGAAGCCTTTTCTCAGCTAAATCAACTGCCTTCTTAGCCAGATCAGTCCTATTCATCTTGATACATGCCAGCGTGAACTGAAAGAATAGAAAGAGCAACATCATGAAACAGTAAAGCTGAGAGCAAGTAGCGTCGTTTATTAGGATAACTTTTAGCCAACATTAGTTTATCATCTTAAGCATCAATTCAAGAAAACCAACTGATCAAAACTATGCAACGTACAGTAAGGAGAAAATGTGTAAAGCATTACGGATTTCTGCACTAGTCCCACATGCATTTACGAATAATCGTTATAGATTTCAGTCATTTTAAATTCAGCATTCAGCGGCTACATCATCTTAATTAAATCAAAAGGAGGGATAGAAAGGGCGAGAGAAAACTCTTAATCTGGGTCTTTCTTTTCTTTCAATAAATATAATATGGTTCTTCAGACTGTGTTATGGAAATTTTGGGCTTTCCATATAATTCAGTGGTTCAATTTACTAGAAATACACTAAGATCACTGTTTTACTTACCAATTTATCCAGGACACCGCAATTTTAACTAAAAGATAAAAAACATGTATAACGGTTATTGAAATATTGCTCAGCCTCCAAAGACAAAATAAATACATGCAGAAAGAGATAAACTAATAATGCACTACAGTCACAGTTCCTTCTTTTTTTTGGGGGGGAGGGGTATAATCACAATATTTCAGGGAAAGCAGCCAAGTGACTTCAGTGGAACTTGTATCCAAAGAAACTTGTCAAATTGATTGAATATAACATAAAATCATTTCAAATTCTGATGTCGGGAAGAAAGAAGGATCATTAAGGAAGAGAAAACCATCAATCGACCAAAAGTACAGAATGTGGCCTTACCTGCCAGAGAAGAGTTGGCCAAGAACCCCCGTTATGATATGACCAAGGTCTGCAACAGTCAAACTGGACAGCTTAGTAACCCGTAGATAACACATACACACACAGAGAAACACACACACACACATATATAGATAGAGAGAGATTTATGGAAAACTCACGTGTTCTTAGGGTCACTACCAGTGATTATACGCCACTCTTCATTCTCCAGAGCAGGGTAACATATTTTAAGGGGCATAGAACCCACAATATCGTCCCATTTTGCTTCAATCAGATTCAGGATCGCCTCATTCTGTTTTGGGGTACCCAAAGATGACACAATGGACCACAGATTTCCAAGTGTGAAGAATCTAAAGTCCATGTGGGCAGGCTGTAAATTGCCAATAAGATAACCACCTTCCTCAGGGATCCAATCCATCAACCAGTGAGGGATTTGTTCAGGGTAGATGTTAAATTTGTTAGTGGCGTCAGTGGAATACTCCTCTGTCTTATATCGGTATATTTCATTGATCTTCTTCATATCAACCCAATAATATTCTCTAATGTGAAATGACAATGCACTAAGTCGGTTGTTTATGGCATTCACCAAATTCTTGGATCCTTCATCCAGAGAGAGCATCTCACGGGAACACCTAAGTGCTGAGTAAAATAAAGCCTGCAACATCAAACATGTCAAGCCCAGAAAAGATCAAAGAGAGAATCACAGAAGGAAACAACGATAGCATCTCAGATCACTTCCTTAACATGTGCAACACAAATATATAGAATAAATTATTATCCTTATTATCTGTGATTTGGTAAAGCCACCCCCCTAAACCTCTAACCTCATTGCTGCAGGTGGAGGGTCCTTTGCACTAGTAATCCTACACTTGTCAATACAACAACAACAGCAATAACCCAGTAAAATCCCATAAGTGGGGTCAAATCCTACACTTGTCAATATAAAGTAAAAATATTAAGCTTATGTCATTCTCTCTACAATGTAAATTAAGGACAGATCAAGTTCCAAGTATCCCTCCAAAAGTTCATAGACCTCATCTATAACCAATCTAATTCACTGTAATATCCTAATTCACCAATGTCAGCATACCAGGTTAAGGAAAGACTCACAAGATGAACTTGAAATGTATATTAAAAACTAAAAAAGGAACTGACTGCCACTTGTAACATTCAAAGAAGAATTTAGCAAATTCAACTTACTTGAATCTCAAGCGGATGTCCATGAATACCCATACGCCTATCTATCATGCAGGAACCATCAGTGACTAGCAAAGAAGGAAACATATCAAACCCATCAGACAGACACAGGTTCAATATCAGCTTTATGCCAGTCTGTACATCCACTCTTTCTTGTAATCCATAGTCACCGGTGATCTTCCCATAAGCTCTCAACAAGATAATCCACCACAAGCCTGAAAAAGTCGCAGTTTTAGATCTTTCAACGTCCATTTACCGGATGGAAATAAAGTGACAAAACTTCTGAGCTGGTCTCTTTACTGATGTATTTCTTCCCTTACCCTCCTCTCCTGATATTCTTTGAGCATTTAGTTTTTCTAGAGGATGTCTAAAAGGAAATAAAACAATTTACTATAACCGTGAAATACTTCCCCTTAACTACTGATAAACACCTATGGTGAATAGAATCTAGATACTATCTTCTTACATTTTCTTTTAAGGAAGGTAAGAATTAATACTCTCTTCTTACATTCAACGAACAATTTACTATTTTGGTCCAGTCCATATTGGCATCCACTTTCCATTTTTGTAAATATGTACAAACAGTTAACAGTTTATTGGTCTACTTGGAAAAGTTGTGCGTATTTCCTATGGTAAGCGAAAATGTGAGAAAAGATTTCCTCTTGTTAAGGCTACTTTTTCTTCAACTGATCAAAAAGTAAATAACAGTTCCCAAATGTTCGATCACTGGTTAATAAACAATAAGTTTGAATTCTCCCCTGAATAACCAGCCATTAAGGGACTTAGTATTCAACAAAAATAAACACTTACCTGAATCAACAGGTGCTACGCGGCCAATAGCTGACTCCCCAAAATCTGGGTCTAGAACTTCTTCATATTTGTTATCATCAAGGGGCACTGTTCTAACTTTAAAACTTGCAGGCATCAACCCTTGCCCTGGACTGTAACAGTCCACAGTTTTCTCCCAACTCTATATTACAGAAACCGACAGCAGTCAATTATTTTACAGTAAATCAATAACCTAGACCAAGATCTATTAATACACACAGAAAGTAAGAATGAAAAACATGAATGCAACCAAACAAAGTTTCTTCAATCATTTGTTTTTGACTAAATCTATAGATGAAGCATCAACGAAAGATCTCATTATGAAAGTAACAATTTAAGAAACTAATTTCTTTGTAGGCTTAAAAAGGACCTGTCTCTAAGAAGTCAAGAAAAAGGTTATCATCTCATGCTGACGCTACCAAATGAAGGACATATTGTCAAATACAAAATAATCATGAGACTCCTTCCTAAAAGATTAATTCTCCACCAAATAAGGAGTCAAAGAAAAATATCAGAAAAGCAAATCCTATCTGGTCCCTAGCTCACAATTGCATTGAGTATTTGGAAGGAAAAAAAAAGTTCAGCCAGGCTCCCAACCCTCTCTCCAAAAAAAGAGAAAGCATTATCATTTCTAAGTACTAATTAAATACCACTGGTGCAGGTAGACTTTTCTTGTGTTTTATTCTTGGAAGTAGGCAAATGCGTTTTAAGCAATCACAATTATGTGAATCTAAAGCTACCACAACTAGCCTATCCAATAGGCATTCTATTTTTCCAAATGAAACCATTTGCAAAATGTTTCCATCATTAAAAATTTAACATTCCAATTGGTAGAAGCAGCTCATTTTTTCAGACAGACAAAAGGCAATCATAAGACCATAAGCAATAAATTTTCAAAGGAAATGATATCACGAAACACTTAAAATTAAAGATTACCTGCAGTTGCAGGGTGTGAAGTAGGAAATTCTTAACAATGTCTTTATCCCCCTTGAGCAAAAAAGCAAGGGCAGATGGGATAAAATCCCTAATAAAGACTTGATCATAATTCAATGGCAACTTATCATTAGGATCATTAGCAGCAAGAGTCCCTATAGGGCTCCCACAATATGTAACCACAGCATTCTCCAACAACTTCCATGCCTCCTTCACCGCCTCTGACTCCTCCCCGCCCCGAACCTCCACTTGCCCCTCACCCTCTTCTTTCACGCTCTCATCATTTTTCACACGTTCACCATCAACTCCAGCAGCATGTTCATCTAAATCAATCTTTTCCACTACCAATGGCTTCACATTCAAACCTCCTTGCACATAAATCCTCTCAAAGTTCTTGTCATTAACACGAGTTTCAACAGAAGTTGAATAATTCCTAAAGTCCGATGCAACACTAGCAATAGCATGGAACCCTCTCTTTGAGGCCCCAATTGGGCCTGAGAAAACCCTAGATTGACCCCAACATGAATTTGGCACACACAACAACTTCTGCTTCCCATTGATAATCCTTCCAGAGCCCAAAATACGAATTGGGTAGCTGTAAAAATCAGATTTTTGCCTCAAATTCAAACGAAAATTCGACGAATTTGTGCTGAATGAATTATGTGCCTTCTTGAATGGAAGACCCAAAAAGGAATTGCTCTTAGTTGCGATTAGAATTCGACAACAAGGCTTCATAGTTATCAAATTCATTGATTTCATAGCAAAATTATCCAAAATCTGGTAAATAAAAAGTAGGCAAAAAGTTTGTTTATAATGTAATGGAATGTGGAATGAATAGATTCTTGTGATGAATAGTAATATTTGGATCTGCACACATATAGGGAAATGAGAAAATTTTGGGATAAGATAAAACAGAAAAAATAGGGAAATGCAATAATTAGTTTGTGAAGTTTGAAGATCTATGGAAAGTGGGAATGACTATTTCTGATTCTGGTGCACAGCGTTATTTATAGACGGAGGCCTGCCTTGTGATGAAAGATGTTATATTTTCTATTTTTCTTTTTCGTCCACAAGAAAAACGGTTTTAAAAAGCAACAAATAGTAGAACAAATATATTCCTTTTAATCTCGCCGGATGAAAAAAGGAGTTGTTCATTATGAAATGCAATCAATAATATTTTTGACCTTATAAGTGGGATTTTTGTTTTATTTTTTGGAGCATTTGTTGTACGAAAAATAGCAATAATAAGGTGAATATATTCATTTTTTTGTATTAATTCTTGCTAGTTTTGGAGAATAAAGGCCAAAAGATCATCCCTAAGAAAAGATAAGAAACATGGTTAAGTCCAAATATTCATTTATATTCTGATACAATAAGATGTCGTGAAGCACTTGGCTATGTGCCTATGTCATTTTCCAGAATTATAATTTGTACACATATATGAGAACTAACAAAGCATTGGCAATCCCATGTAAAGAAAGAAAAACAAAAACAAAGAACCTTGTAGCCAAATTTATAGTACTTGTAGACCTAGCAAGAACCTTTATTACTTTATTAATTTCTAAGAAATAGTTGTATATAAATATGGAAATTTTATAGTACCTTGCAGCTAACAGATTAACCAACTTTCGACTTTTTTTGCTACTAAAGCATTAATTCATCTTTCAAAAAGAAAGTTAAAACATTCAATTTAGACGAAGACTATGTTTTCAAACGATAAAATTTATTTTCTTGCTTTATACTCACTCCGATTTAAAATAAGTGACAATTTCACCTTTAACATACTCATTAAGAAAATACGAGAAAAAAAGATAGTATTCACTAAATTAACCTTAACTAATTGTTACCTTGATACAGTGGAATATGTAAATAAAGGTAAATTTTGGAAATACAAAAATAATTATTTTTTGATTATGTAAATGAGCACTTATTTTGAACCAAAATAAAAAGGTAAAATAGTCACTTTTTATGTACAAGAGGGAGTATTAATTTTTCTTTTTCAGATAGTTTTATATCAGTTTACCAAAGTTAATTCATCTCTCTTTAATGAAATAATGCAAATGAAATCCACATATATTGGAAAGAAAAAGAAAAAGTGAACCGCATATAGTATTTTTCTATTCCACTTAGAACTCAATTTAGGCCCCCTTTGTCCATAACTTTTTTTTAAAAAAATGTGTTTGTCCAAGAAAGTTTTTCGAAAATGAGTTTTTTTAAAATCAAAAAGTGGGTTTGACCATGGTTTCAAAATTTTCAAAAAAATTTTTTCCTCACTCCACAAACTGCAATATTTTTTCAAATGAAATATATATATCCAAACATAATTTTAAATTTCAAATATTATTTTTCAACTTAAATTCGAAATTTTTTTTAAAAAAAATTACTGCAATTTTTATGTCCAAACGCGTTAGTGGTATGACTTTAAAAAGAAACTGTCAAATTTAAGGAAGGAAAAAGGTAAGGATCTGACTTTAGAATTTTCCACGTTGCAACAAACTGTCAAATCTAAAAGCAAGTTGCAAAATTGTACACTTTCTCACAATTTGCATTACTTGGAGATTTGAGATAAGAATTGGTGACCTGTAAATAAGTAATTTTCGATCGCCTTCTTTTTAAAATGGGAGAAAAAAATCTCCAAGCAAATACAGTCTCGCCACGTATGCAAGAAACGTTCCATCAAAATTACAATGGTGTAAAAAATGTGTGAAAAAAATATAGCCCTTCCAAGACATGACATGTACAACAAAAGCAATGTAGGGAAGAATCAACTTCAACAAAAATAGATTAGTGCCCACCATTAGCATTGTTATCCACAAAGACAATACTATGGCCCATAGTATTGCAACAATTCATGTCCTCTCATAATTTGCAACAATGAGAAAAATGGGTAAAATTGGATGAGTTTTTGCTAAATCGTGCATAGCACTTTTTGAAGTTAATCCATTTGTATTGGCAAATATCTCTCTAGCTTTCATTTTCCAACCATGAGTTGGTGCTTTTTTGTTCTCTTTTTGCACATTTTCTTTCTCATGTCACGCCATAGTAAAATGACAAAGTTTGTATTTTTCCGATGCAACTTGGACAACGCGTTTGGAGTAAATCCATTTGTGAGGCAACTCGCAAGTTGAAGTTTTTTAACAAAACGTGTTCTTTTATCATACTTCGATCTTCCTCTTTTACTTTCTTTCAATATATATAATCTGATTGTAAAACAACATGTCAAAGGTTTGATAGCACCTTGCTTCAGGAGAGAGAGCTGTCCCTTTAAAGGAGTTTCCACAAACAATATCTCTCTCTCTCAATAGGACATACCATTTATTAAAGTGATGGATAAGTCCAGATAAAATCATAAGCAATTGCTCCACAAATTGAAGGGAAGTCTTGGCGTAGCTGGTAAAGTTGATGCCATGTGATTAGGAAGTCACGGGTTCAATCCGTGAAAATAGCCTCTTGCAGAAATGCAAGGTAAGGTTGTGTACAATATAGATCCATATGATCCGATCATTCCCTGAACCCCGCACATAGCGAGATTTTAGTGCACTAGGCTGCCTCCCCCCTTTAATTGCTCCACGAATTGTCCCTCTGAAGCCAAGCTTATGGAAGGAAAAAAAGTGTTTTTGAGGAGAAGCAGAAGCAGAAAAAAATAGCTTCTCTCCAAAAACACTTTAGAAAAATACACTTAGAATCAGTTTTCAAAAGCTTGGCCAAACACTAAATACTGCTCAAAAGTGTTTTTCAAATTAATTAGCCAAACACAAACTGCTTCTCACCAAAAGCACTTTTTTAAAAAGTACTTTTGAAAAAAACACTTCTCAAAATAAGCCGATTTTAGAAGCTTGGCCAAACGGGCTATACTACAACTAAATCTTTCAAATTCTAAAGAAGTGATGTTAATTTTGAATAATGTGTCCTCTGAGATCTAGACAAAGCTTCCAACAATTCCTGCTAGCTCACACATTTATCAGCCCCTTTTAATCAGTAACCACATAACAAAGTTGGGAAATCATCCCCCCTCTGATGAATTATTTGATGCTTGATTGGCACCAAAAAGAAAAAACAGGAGATGGCAAGGGAAATCCAAATGATTAAAAGTTCACTTTTCTCCAGGTACAAATTTTGGCCTAAAATAAGGGGGATATTCAATACAACCAGACAAAAAATCCAAGTGGTAGAATCTAGTTTACAAAAAGAAAGTAATTTACAGACAAATCTCTTTCTGAAATAGCAAGATACTTTTTCCAGATTGGATTAAAAAAATCATGTAAGAGAAATTCTAATACTGGTATCCATCATACAAAAAGAACTGTTCAACACCTACTTCATATTCAGAATTTCATATTCAAGAAACTGTAACAATTATGACCTGACTTCATATTCCCCAGCCTTGGTTAGAGCTCGAAAACCTTTATTAGGTCGTGAAGGTAGATTCTTGAAATCAAGTTTTTCTATTTTCAAACCTGAGAGCGCAACACCCATTATTTTGAATTCCACAAGAAATGTAGGGAATACATGAAGCCGCTCTAAACCGGTTTCCAACACTAACGTTCCAGTCATTGAAGGAGTTTTATCTTTCGGCATCCGGCCGATGGACCAAGTGCAGGTCTGCACTAATAAAGCAATGTGTCAGGATCCAACTAAACAAGATAGATTAGATCCTATCACATAATACAAAAATGGAGTCAGCCTGAAAAAAGAAGAAAAAAGAAGAAAAAAACTAAGTTTACCATCCATTTCCAAGTTTTTTGTCATTTTACAGTACAGTTAGAACTGACTAGTGTAGAAAATATCTTTACTCAGTTATTCTTAATCAACTGCAGGTAATAACATTTATACTTCCATTAAGAAAAGGCACCAAGAATAAGCCAACTCTGAGAATGAGATGAAGTACCAAATACCTTATTGGAAAGGATGTTTACTGTTCCATAATTTGATGTAAGGTCTGCAGATAAAACACGAGGGGGCAGTAGAAATTGCACGCTTATATCATCAATTGCCTTCCCAGGATCATTGCGAATCCCAACTAGCAAGCTAATACGACATGTCCCTGAGTCTGAAGTAATTTGTGGCTTTACATATATAGGGGTACTCTTCAACTTCTTTATTCTGCATTGGATATTTTAGAGGGGAAAACAGAAGATTACCAAGAGAAGGTAAAAACAGCAAACAAGTGAATTCTTTAATGCACTTTGCCTATGGTAAATACTGCAAACAGGTAAATTTTCCTGTTTTTCATGTTTGTGCTATGCACCTCGTAGTTCACGATCTGCCCATAACCTCATCAACAATGGACTAACTGTCACTGTTTATGGATACATCTTATAATAAATACTCCCTCCGTTTGAAAAAAAATGAACCTATTATTATTTGGGAAGTCAAACAAGGTTTTCTTTGACCACATTTTTGCAAATACTTTTTAAATATTTTGAATCGTTAAACTATTGTGACTTATAGTATTTTTTTACGTAATTTCTAAATATGTCAATTTTATTTCAAAATTTTTAAAAAAACCTATGCAAATTCACACCGAAAATTAGTCAATTCGACCCTCGTACTCGGAAAAGGTTCGTTCTTTTTGAAACGGAGGGAGCAGTGGTTGAGAAAAAAGAGACAAGCTTTTCTTTCTGTGCATGGAGTTCATTTATGAACAGTTCAACTTTCATTATGCATTTATTAACAGTTCAACTTTCATTATTTGGAGGGAGCTGCGGGGAGGGGTTCTGGAACATCCTGCCAAAGATGGAGGGGTTAATGTCATGGGTTTCAATATTAGAGGGGATAAAGAGTAGTAACTCTATACATGTGCAAGTACATTCTAAGTGTAAACAGAAGATTAGAACATTCTTTAGGTAAAGCCAAACTATAAAATTTTACTCATGAATGAAGGCAATGCCAATTATTAACAACACAAACCTGTAGCTCATGAGCTTAAACTGTCCATCAGGAGGAACAAAAGACAGAATTTGGTTTGATTCCCACGCTCGCAGCCGAACACAAGGAT